TTTCTTGTTCTTCTTCTTTTTCTTTTTCTTGTTCTTCTTCTTTTTCTTTTTCTTGTTCTTCTTCTTTTCCTTTTTCTTGTTCTTCTTCTTTTTCTTTTTCTTGTTCTTCTTTTTCTTTTTGTTCTTCTTTTTTCTTGTTCCTCTTCTTTTACATGTTTTTTTCTTCTCGTTTTTCTTCTTCTTCTTCTTCTTCTTCTTCTTCTTCTTCTTACTGTGGTTCGCATCTTAATAGGTCTCCTGTTCGCAGTGGCCGGTCGCGCCAAATTGAAGAAAGTTTACAGTACAACCAATGTGTATCGCTATTTAAATATGTTTCATGTATTCGAAAGCCTGTATGTTTCATCACTAATATGCGCCCATCACGTCATGTGAAGTGAAAATGTCTATTTCGAAAAACACGATAAGTTTTCAAAGAAGACGCTTCATAAGAAAATAAAATATTACATTGTTTTTGATACTCTGTTCTTAAAGCGAAATGTGCAAAAGAAGATGAGTTGGTTTAAGCTGCACATACTCGCTTTCTTGATGTGATAAAAATATAAATTTCATCGCGAAGTACATGTTTTTAAACAAACACTGTCGATTATGCAATATTTCTATGAATATTTCAACATTTCTTTTTTTGCGTATTTGCAAGCATATTTCAGTGTTGAAAGCTTGCGTACATTTCCCAGCTCTAGTGAAGACAAAACGAGGGCTACTGGCTGAGAGCAGGGTATATAGCGCCTTGACGTGTACCAATCATCTCAGAGAACAGGGGATCAGGATCGTCACGGAGCACGTAAATACCTACAGAGTTCGGATGACCTGACCTGTGCCTTATTTTACGTGGTGAGACTCGGGCCATCAGGCCCGCTCTTCCGCCTGACCACGCAAATTTCACTACGCTCCTTTCACTACTAGCGGAGGAAGGAGGTATTTCTTGGGCGGCGAAATAGGCTATTTGAATTAATTTGGTATTGTGGCGAGTTTTTGTTGGCATTTACAATGAAATAATTATGAGTTGTCATTTGCAAACAATATTGTTGGCAATGACGACTCGTATTATTATTTCGATTTGAATTTAGCTCAGAGGTTTAATTTGATAATCTTCTACATGCAGTAAATCTACTAACATGGGACAGCCGGCTTTACTTCCCCTCCGAAGGATGCGTACGAAGGATTTTCCCCCTTAAAATCCACGACTTCGATCGGGTTTGAACCCACGAACTCAGATCACTTTCGCGCACGCGGCGTGCTCTGCGGGCCGCTGACACGTCCCCTGAGAGGGCACGAATGGACAAAGGTGACTGAAGCGAGGAAACTTGATGAGGAAGCTGTGATTTAAGCGTAGCAACTGAGGTACTACTTCAAAAAGAGACTTTGTGAACTTTCTATCGAAAGCAATTCGACTTCACCGCGCATTTATTTATCACAACCATTTATTAGACAGGAAATGGAACGAATAGTAGTAATGTACAAAATTAGTAAGGAATAATTAGTAGTAATGTACAAAATTAGTTAGGAATGAATGATAGTAATGTACAAAATTAATAAGGAATGAATAGTAGTAATGTACCAAATTCGGAAAACAATACATTGAAAAGTCTTCCTCACAAGCATGCGGGAAATCATCATTTTTAATTTCATCACGTCCCAATGAAACTTCAGCAGAGTGAGTTCTGCTCTTTTTTATGATTTTGTTCAGTTTTTGTTGATTAAATGGTTATTGTATTTTTGTTTGTATGGTTAAATATTTTTTATGGTTTCGTTCAGCATTATGTTTGCTTCTGCAGGTCACTAGTTATTTTTAAAAATTTTACCAATAAAACAATTAGGCTTTTCAATTTTTTCATATAATTATACAATAAAAATTGTAACTTACGTGCGGTTTTCCTCCAAAAGTGCATTGATGATCGCCTTCATAACAGTCTTATGGATGATGGAGGGCTGAAACCAAAAACGTTTGTTATTTGGAGCTATTTGGATGTCAACTAGCAAACTTAATTTGTCACTAAATTATAAAGTCATTATTTTCTTTGTATAGGAGACAGACATGTCCACGTCACGTGCATTTTTAATTCGCAAGAGCTTTCGACCCAAAACAGCACTCAAATAAAATTTCACTACTTTAAAGGCACTCAATCCACAAAGTAATTTATTGGGAAGAAATGTGCATCGTTTTAACTACTGCCTCTTTTGCGTTCTTAGAAGGATTTATATAGGTTTTCTTGTTAGTGGTAATATAAGAAAGCAATTTTGGACACTGAAAGTGAGTGTTGAATAGGTTGTTTTTCTTCAGGCAAAGAACACACATTTCACATGATTAAGACTTTCGAATTATTTTGTACTTTATTATATTGTTTATAGCCTCTAGGGTGGCTCATGGACGGCGTACTAGCTTCCCGTGGTGTGAGCGCGGGTTCGATTACGGGTCGGACCAAAAATAATCTTGCGGATTTCCTCAGTTTCTATAGCTGTATGATGAAGAAAATATCAGGCAGGGGAAGTTTGCTAGTTACAGTGAAGGGATATTTCGCTATATGTCTCTCTTACTCCCTGTTATGCGTGTGATTAAACTAGGCCCAGGCATGGGGGACACCCTTAGCCGGCAAAGTCGAACAATCGACCCAAAATGCCAAATAATACAAACATACATACATTGTACAAACATAAATACATAGACACATATACATCTTCTATATTTTATCTTCTTAGGAGACCATTGTTTGGTAATGATTAAAACCGCTTGAGATGTTACAATTTTTGCCCAGCTATTTGTACTGTAACATACGTGTAGGTCCATTGTGAATCCACTTTTAAGCTTCTCCGCATTCGCAAACTCCAACGCTACGTTAGAATTATACCAGAAAACGCTCCTCTACAAATTTAGCTTTTGTAGACACGTGAGTCGTATAGTGCGCGATAGAATCCATGTGACCAGGAAAAATGGAATTTGCTTCTGACAATGGCGGCAGACTGACCTGCTAACTCGACATTCTCATGATGCGTCTTAATGTTGGTAGCTCGAGTAGAACAAAATATCAATCAAACAGATGTGACTTTATTTGAGCAAAATAAATAACTTCTATTATTTGTGGCCAACACAATTTTGTAGACAGCGTTAGTGACAATAATTTTGTTTTAATTCAAGCTTAAAAATCACTACGTTACTTTAGGCTTAATGGTAGCTGACGCTACCAGACGAAAGTATTTAATTTTCTTTGTTGTATTCACAGTTTTATCGGATCCTTTGAACATTGCCACACTTTAAGCACTAGGGATAACAATTGAACAGTTAGCACGCTCCGTATGCACTGAAATTAATCCATTTCACTGGCTGTCTAAAAATTTTCTTTACACTTCAAGCCTTACAGGATACGTGGGTCCCCCATAAGGTTCTACTATACGCAGTGCAAAACGTCTCTGTCAACCCGATTCTTCTTCTAGCACCGATTAGATACCCTTTTGATTTTCTTCTCGAACATCGTGTCGGTGTTAGACGCTTGTTCTTTGCTGTTGACAATGGATTTGATGAGAAGCTTCAAGGAAAAGTGTTCACGTATACTCACCATTTCTCGCAGCGAGTCGTGCACCGTGTACAGGAAGTCCATCTTCAGCCCCGGGTCTTCCACGCGCGCGCCCTCCTCGTCGGTGTCCACCTGCGGCCAAAGCACAATGTCAAGGGTAGGCCCTCAGCCAGGGTGCTCCCACTCAATATCAATATCACCTTCAGCCAGGGTGCTCCCACTCAATATCAATATCACCCTCAGCCAGGGTTCTCCCACGGATGAAGCTCGGTATCGAAGGTAAACACATCGGGACTAGCGCCGTATTTTTTTACCGACCTTTCATACATACGAGGAAAAACTTAGAAAAAAATGGTGCCGTTTTCGAGAAAAAAGTTTTTAAAAAAATTAAAAATTGCATATATTAATGCAAAATTTCACGAACACTATTCCAATTTTCGAAACATTTTACATGATCTTATCTTTAAAGAACAGATTTCATTAAGGAAATGTCTATTTCAGTATTTTAATTGTAGGAAGAGGTTGATAAAGGAATTGAACTTTTGTAATGTTTGAAAAATCTTTCGATATCTTCAATAATCATCAACGAAAATAAAACTTGCGCTATTCTCTGAGGCATCCTTTTTGCTATCCGACAAAAAAAATTAATAAAAAATTGGGGCCTTTTTTTTTTAAATGTCCTTGGGGCTTTATGAAAAGTAATCCCAATAAGAAAAAATTCGATTTCAAATTCAAGAGGCCGAGGCATCTGCCAGATCGATTGGAGACTATCAATTTTGGAGAAAATTGACTGAACGATTTAGGCGCTAGCCTTTGACTACAGACGGACTGACAAAAAGTTTTACCGTCAATCAATTTTTCGATATCAAGGACCCACAAAAATGGATTCTGACTACAGACGCGTGAGGCGAAATAATGCACTGTATTTGGGGGCACGATTTATCTACTTTTTCTTTACCAGGTCCCGGCAATAAGAGTTTTTGTTGTCGAAAATTCGCCGCTGTACGGCGCACGATTACATAATCTCTTCCCACGAAGTTCGTGCGAGAAAGTAAAAATATGCAGGTCCGCAATGTATACGCCAAGCACGTGCAAAATTGAATGCGAAAAGGCATAAGGTGGTCGTAGTTCTCGCCCTCGACCTTATATTTTGTCCCCTAACGTGTCAGCCTTCTGCCCTGCTACCGCGGCCGCCTGCGTGACGCGGGTGTCGCCCAGCCGCAGTTCCGCCGTCGCAGAAGGTCACGGTCAATGCGGGCTTGCCCAACTGCCCGTCTCATTACCCCAGCTCTTTCTCTGCGAGCCATTTCTTCGAGATCCTGCGGTCAGATGCGTTACGCCAGTTGACATTTAAGATATGTGCCACGAACACAAGAGCTTCAGAAATAAGGCAATTTAAAAGAGAGGACTATACACCGAGGTTTTATTTTATTTATTTTATAAATTTTATTTATTTTATAAATTTTATTTATTTTATAAATTTTATTTATTTTATACATTTTATTTATTTTATACATTTTATTTATTTTATACATTTTATTCATTTTATACATTTTATTCATTTTATACATTTTATTCATTTTATTCATTTTATTCATTTTATTCATTTTATTCATTTTATTCATTTTATACATTTTATTCATTTTATACATTTTATTCATTTTATACATTTTATTCATTTTATACATTTTATTTGTTTTATTTGTTTTATTTAGTACGAACATATTTGCGGTGTGGTACACATTTCTCCGTGATATCCACTTTATTGAGATTTTAATGTAACAAATTTAGTGCACCAGGAAAGTCTCTCCGCACTAGGCCAGAAATTGCATATATGTTGATAGCAACCAGATCTCTGTGAAACAAGTGTATGGGACAACACTTCCAGCATCTGTTATAATTGTGGTGCGTGCGGTGTTTACGTTTTGTTTTGTTACAAGCTGCAGCTCGTGCTACCAACATAATGTTTGTTGCGCGCACTCTCATCTGCAAGGTGCGACTGCGGAGAGACTTTCCTGACGTGGTGTTCTCGTTCGAAAGTTATCAGTGTGTGGAGCTGGGTGCTAACGTCATTCGATTACCCTCGAAGCAAAAATCAGGTTTTCCTCTCACGGATTGAAAAGAATATCTATGGTATAGTAATATAATTCTCATTAAAATCAAATCCAACGATCTAAAGTTAGAAGCAATGTTTGAACTTTCCTCTTCATGTAAGTTCTTTAGAGGTGCTCGTGAAATGCATACATTTGATCCTGAAATTCAGTCATCCTAGTCCTAACAGCCCAAGACAATAGTGAATGCCTTATATTTTATACGCGATATCACGAGCCGATCTTTCATAAGAAAAACGGAACTTAAATTTTCATGTGTATGACATAACCTTGACATTTTTATTTTCTTGCACACTACTTGCGCAGTACATAAAAATTATGCAAGACGATTTTTTGACGGTAATGACATTTTGGGGACCTATGATACCGAAAAAATGGAAAACTATGCCTGTGAATAGTAAGTACTTCTTCTAACATGCTCTCTTTGAGAGCCTGAGTTTGAGCAAAAAATATTGTGAGTTGAAAAAACTTTTGTAGCTTCATTTATCGTTTTAATATTGCATAACCGTTATAATAATGCGAAAAGTTATGTGTTGTTGTAGCACCACCAGTAATCTATGGTATCCGTTGAAAAAGAAAAACAAAACATTAAGGTAAATCGGCTGCATGTTAACTCACTTTAGTATGGCTGAATGAGTTTTATAGATGTTTATGTGAAGAGCAAACATCGTTCTTTTAAATAATTAATGATTTTAAAGAACCTATGTAATATCGACTTCACGAATGACAACTATATTTCTTTCTCAAAGCGCTGAATGATTTGAATGCAAGTGAAAATAGCGGAAGACCGAAAATTCCACTCATGAAATTTCCTGTCTCCAAAGTTTTTCAAACATGCTTCTAATCTTTAATAAGTCTAGAAAATCCTAAGTTTGAAATGGCACAATAAAGGTTTGAGTAAGTTAAATAACTTCAAAAGTTAAGCGTTCAAAAAGTTAATGTGTAGTCTATGAATGATGACAATACCTATGAAAAAATATGTCCTCACAATTTAGTTACCTGTCACATTTATGACGACCCTCTAGCTCAGAAAATATCCTGTTTCTAAACAATTGTTGTTTAATAGTTAGTGGCTGCACGTTAACTCGCCAAGGTTTTAGTGTTAGTGTGGTAGTTACAAGTTACAAGTCTTATAGTTTTTTTGAAGTAGTTGTGGTTCTTTAAGTTAAGTATTTTGACATAACTGTTACAAGAGACTTTGAAAACTTAACTTTGATAGCGCCCTTAAAAAATGTTCACAGAAATTTAAACATATGTAGATTTATAATGTTTAATTCTGAATTATTTCAAAAGAAACATTGATAACAAATATGTGTCATCACGGACTAACTAGACCCTAAACTACCATGAAGATACTTTTCAGTGACCTTTTCGTACTGTAGGCTTTTTATTTTTGTATCCTAGTTCCATTACTTGTACCAGCAATTTGAGAAGTGTTTAGCAGTCAAATGACACACATGTGTAGATGGTCCTTTTTACGCCGCTATCCGTTATTTAAGACTTTTTCCTCGCGTGGCCATTGTTTATACGGCACCACTGTCTGTTGCTAAGGGAAAATTGATTTGTAGTTTCAGGGTGCTGAATATGCCTTAGGAATAAAGAACAGTACACCTACATTTGGGATAATGGCAGCTGTCTCCTCGAAACAACGTATTCAAGAGAATGTTAATAACAGTCATCAGTCGAAACCGTAAACTTCATGACCTTTCAGAGTTGACTTTGTTGAACTAGAGCCGTTGCTCAGCTGTGTCTATGAGCAGTTTTTAAAAAAAGGAGAATTACTGGACCGTGATATTTTCGACCAAGTAGAATTGAAAAAAATATGCAGAAAGATGCGAAACCGTTGTTGAATATTTTTCAGCACTTTTAAAGATATTATTGCTTAAATAAAAAAATATAGAACAATCTTGGTAAATCCACCTGTTATATTTCATTCTTTATTACTGTGCTTCGCCACATAAAAAAGTTAGGCATTTCATAAAATGTCATTTTTCAGAAGAGGCTCAATCTCGATCAAGATAGAACTTTTCTGTCTTGTGAACTTTATTTTTAAAATTTTTACTTGTAGGAATATTTTAACATATTTTTCACTTAAAAAATGACTGATTTTGAGATAATACATCACTTTTCTTGTGCAATAACACCTGCTACAATCATAGAAAGCATGCACAAATTTAGTATTATTTTTCTTATTTTATATTTAAAAATTTCAACTCGAAAATATGTGCGAAAGATATTAATATCAGTACGTTAATTAGGTGCATAATGAGTATTAATTAAGGTAGATTAGATTTGTTTGGTACTAATGTCATGGCATCATACTGAACGTTTACCAAGGTCCAGGAGCCGTTTAGCTTTGAAATGAGGGATTGAATTCCATTTCTCTAGGCTACATAGTAACATTACTTCTTTAACAGTGCCGCGATGGCTTAGTGGCAACATCATTGATCTGCAGCGTCACTAGTCCGGAAGTCCTAGGGTTTCAGTACTGTCGGTGGGGGATTTTTGACACTGCGAAGACAACTGATTCGAATTTAAACCCTGTCTGGAGGAGGACTCTTGCGACCGGTTGTTCGGGTCAGACGTTTTCTGTTCTCCGAACAATACCAGGCGAACGTCGGAGCAGTACATAAACAAACTAGCCGCGAACCGCGCGCGATGTTTCCCGTCATCCTTCTCCTCTTTTCTACCTTATCAAAAACGCATATACATTCACTACGCTACCACACGTAACGGTAGATTAGAGCAGGGGATTAGAGCTTGCTTCGATAGGGGCGGTATATCTGCAGGGGAAAACTCACATGCCGACGTATAGGTTGCTACCGCCTCCCGGGTTGTAATAACTTACGCTTATGGGAATAATGGCACTGCGCTTATGGGGATAATAACCTGAGTAGATGACTCCGGAATCAATACTCTATCATCCTTCACCATTCCCATTAGAGCTGAGCTACAGGCTGACCTTCTATCAAGAACCCGACGAATTCAGACCGAGAAATTCCGCCCAACGTCGGATCCTGG